TCATTAACCCACAAAATCGGTTTTCAGAAGAGGTTTAATGTTCAAAAACTGCCAAGGCCTCAAGTTCAAATTCAAAACAGCTAAACATAATTATTTATTTATTTATTTTTGTAAAAATAACCCAAAAAAAGGAACCTAGTGCCTCTTGAACTTGCGCGCAAGGAGGCGAATCGGCTGATTTTAACTGCGATTGCCCTGTATTGGCCTGTCTCATGTGCACGAGGCCACTTCTCCTCCAAGCCTATTTTACTAGCCCACTTCATTCCTTAGTATATATACACTAGGAAAGTCTTTCTTTTAGTCAATGTGAGAATTTGACACACACTTTTGACACACATACAACAGTATATTCTTAAAAAGATGACGGTGAAACATAAACCAAAAACATTGAATAAGGATATTATAGAGGAGTGTAATAAATATTCCATATCTTATCTTATTAAAATGATAAATTTTTTTCTCTCATAATGTCTTATAAAAAAGGATGTATTTTTCCCTGAAAATTTTGTTGATTGACTTTAATGTTAATATAATAGAATAACAGGTATAGGCCTACATAACTTATTTTCTTAACAGCAATTCTTGCAATATTGAAAGCTTGAAACTGCCTGAATCTAAATGATTAACGAGAGGCATGCTAAATAATTATTCAACCTGTCCATTATTTTATTAATATATTAGAAAAGCGTGGCTTCAATTTCTTATATGCTTAGCAATTGCTGGAACACATTGGTCGTTTGCGCACATGTTTTCATGAGGTTCAGTTTGTAAGAGAACAGTGTAGAGTTTTGAATCACCAATTAACTGTTACCTAGTCTCATGCACTATAATAGTGTGAGAGGAGATCATTGAAATTCAAAGATATTGAAAAATACTGAAGTTTATTTAAAATTCATAGATAAGTTGTGAAACAGGTACAAATTCTATAATTCAAAGCTATAATTTGATGATAAAGATACATGGTTAATATCATAAAAAAAAAAAAGACAAAGGGTAAAATGTGAAGATTAATGCATTGAAGAAAATTGCAAATCATGGGTGGAGCTTGGAGACTATTAAAAAAATACAAAGTATTGAGGAATTGAAAGCAAGGAAGAAAATTAAAGATTATTGAAGATTTGTGGATGAATTCTAACAACTAGTACTGCTAAAAAGGAAATTAAAGATCATAGAATTTTATAACTTGATTTTTTTTTCAAATCAATATTAGTTATAAAATTTTGTTTAAAAGATATTTGTACATTATAAAAGTAAATGTTCTTTATTGTAATTTACTCATTTTTAAAAAATTATCTAAATATTTCCTTTGTTTAGCCTAATGTTGCATGTCTACAGTCAGTGGCGAGCCACATACAATTGAGGGGGGGCATATGCCCCACCTCAATTGGAAAAAATTACATGTAATGGAGTATAGGTATTTATATTTTGCACCCTCTCAATTTTATATTTGGCACCCTCTTGTTTTAGTATTTAAAGTTTAAACCCATTATATGTTACTTTTAACCCAAGTCCAATTTTAAACTCAAAGCCCAATAAATTTTAGCCAATGATTTTACTATACCCAGCACTAATATTATTTTATAAAAAATAATCAATAATTCAACTTTTAAAAAATTAAAAAAAAAATAGCGTGTTTCCGTCTTCCCTAATTTCCCAATCTCGCTTTGCTCTGTGTCGCATATCGAAGGTTTGCCACCGACGCCCACTGTGCCCACTGGTCTTTGAAAAATTGAAGCACGCTGTGTCGCTGCCGATCATACTTTACTCTGTCTTTGAAGAATTGAAGCAAGAAAGAGAAGAGAACGAAGGACAAAAAGGAGGGGAGAAGGAAGGAAAAAGACAAAAAACAAAAGGTGAAACCTTTCACAGAGGGAGCACACGGCTTGTCCTAGGTAACACCTTTAATGACATAAAAAATTATTATTTATTAATATATTTGTCTTATATGAATTTGTCTTCAAATGCCTAATTTTTTTACTTTTAAATTTTAAGAAATAAATTTAATTTTTTAACCATTCTCTTAAATCTTAATCTTGAATATATTGCAATTGAGTAATTACAATTTTTATAAATTTTGAATAGAAAATGGGGAGATTTTTTAAAAGAAAATTGTCATCAGATGAACAAGAACAACCATCTACATCAAAGCCTTGTGAATTGAGTTTTCAATCACCGCGACAAACTAGAATTAACGTGCAAGATTTGCAATTTGATCCAAGAAAAAGAATTAAAATTTCATCATATCATCCTAATGACCAAGAAAAGGTACGAAGAGCATATTTGCAGAAAAGACCATGTCAACCTATCCAACATAATTTTCTACAAAGAAAATTTAGGAATTCTAATAGAAGATTTTATCCTGCTTGGTTTAGTGAATTTGGAAATTGGTTGGAATATAGTATAGAAAAAGATGTAGCATTCTGCTTATGTTGTTATCTTTTTAGGCCTAATGTTGGAAAGTAATCAGGTGGTGATGTATTTGTGACACAAGGATTCACAAATTGGCACAAGAAAGAAAAGCTTTCATCTCATGTTGGAGGCCCAAATAGTGCTCACAATATTGCTTGGAAGAAATGTCAGGATTTGATAAATCAAAACCAACATATTGAAGTTGCTATTGTTAGGCAATCAGAGCAAGTTCGAGATTTGTATCGAAGACGTTTGATAGCATCAATTGATTGTGTTCGCTTTTTGTTAAAGTAAGGATTAGCCTTCTGTGGTCATAATGAGTCAAGCACCTCCAATAATCAAGGTAACTTTCGTGAACTTCTTAAGTTTCTTGCTGATCACAGTGAATCAATAAATCAAGTTGTCTTGAAAAATGCTCCTAAAAATAATCAATTAACTGCTCCTGAAATTCAAAAGGATATTGTTAATGCTGCTGCATTAGAAACCACTAATGCTATTATTAGTGACATTAGAGATGAACCATTTGCTATTATTATTGATGAGTCACGTGATTGTTCAAATAAAGAACAAATGGCCCTTGCTTTACATTATGTTAATAAGAAAGGAAGCATTGTTGAGCATTTTATTGGTATAGTCCATGTCACAGAGACTACTGCTCAGTCCTTGAAATTGGCAATTGAAAAATTGTTATGTAAATATGGGTTAAGCATATCAAGAATTCGTGGATAAGGCTATGATGGTGCTAGCAATATGCAAGATGAATTCTATGGTCTAAAAAGTTTAATATTACAGCAAAACCCATATGCATTTTATGTGCATTGCTTTGCTCATCAATACAACTTACATTAGTTGCTGTAGCTAAAAATCACATTCAAGTTGCCTCTCTTTTTAATTTAGTGTCTACTATATCAAATGTTGTGGGGGGTTCTTGTAAGCGACATGAGTTGCTTCATGAAAAACAAATTGCCCATATTAAAGAAGCATTAGAAACAGGAGAAATTCCCAATGGACGAGGCTTGAACCAAGAAACTAATCTTAAGCAAAGTGCTGATACTCGTTGGAGTTCACATTATGCAACTTTGATAAATTTAATACTCATGTTTTCTACTGTGATTGATGTTCTTGAAGTTATAAAAGAAAATGGATCAAATGCAGACCAAAGGGTTGAAGCCAATGGTCTTTTGTATTTGTTAGATGATTTTGATTTTGCATTCACCCTATATTTGATGAAAAATGTATTAGGTATCTCAAATGAGCTGTTGCAAGCATTGCAAAGGAAAGATCAAGACATTATCAATGCCATAAGCTTGGTTAACATCACAAAGCAATAGTTGCAAACTTTGAGGGAAAGTGGATGGGAGTCATTATTGGAAGAAGTGATTTTATTTTGCAAGAAGCATGACATTGACATTCCTAACATGGAAGATACTTTTTTGCCTAAAGGTAGATCACCTCATAGAGGTAAAGTTCAAGCAGTCACAATGGAGCATCACTATCGAATTGAATTATTTTATACCATTGTGGATATGCAACTTCAAGAACTTAATGATCGATTCACCAAGACAAATACTCGATTGTTGATTTGTATGTCTTGTTTGAATCCAGTCAATTTATTCTCTACTTTTGATAAGGAAAAGTTGATTGAATTTGCCAAATTTTACTCATATGAGTTTTCCTCAACTGATTTAGTGATACTTGACAATCAGCTTGAGACTTACATCATTGATATGCGAAGCAATACTAAATTTGCATCCATAAAAGGGATCAACAGTCTTGCAGAAAAATTAGTTGACACCGAAAGACATATTGTTTATCCATTAGTTTATCTTCTCCTGAAATTGGCAATGGTATTACCTATTGCCACGACAATAGTAGAAAGAGTTTTTTCTGCTATGAAGTTCATGAAAAATCGGCTACGCAATCGAATGGGGAATATGTGGATGAATGACTGCCTAGTAACTTACATTGAAAAAGATGTATTGAAAGTATTGATAATGAGTTGATTGTTCAATGATTCAAAAACATGAAACCACGTAGAGAAAATTTATAAGGTATGTAATTTTTAAATAATTTTTTAATTATTGTTTTTTGGATTATTAATATGTGAATGAATTTGCCCCCCTGACCTAAGATCTTGGCTTCGCCACTGCCTGGCACTACAAAACGAAAATGGTCATAAGAAGAGTGTTTGTGTGGAGGTAATTCTTGTGAATCAAAAGAAACATTGATCAACATACACAACAAACTCAAAAGTTGTGAATGTCAGAAAATCATAGAGAGAAATAGACCTCACTCAATAACAATCTTCTCGACTCTAAACTCAATGATATGCATATTTCTGCTTCAAGATATCTTTAGTTTGGCCAAATCCCTTCAACCTCTCTCAAATGCTTGCATTCATTCAACAAAATGGCCCCCAAACAATGACATTCTTTGACACATGCAAGCAAAACTGTGAAACTGCTACCGCTCAAATCTAGCCATTTAACATTGATAAGTCGAGCAAGATTAATTCTAAGGATGTCATTTGATATATTAGAATATTGAAGCACAAAAGTGACTATGTTTGGACATTTCTTTGACCACAACTCTTATTCTTGGGCTTCCTCATGATTATATGATAACAAACTTTCGCCATCATAAACACTTAGCACTTCTAGTTTCGGCAATAGAAAAATGCTCATCGGAAGTTCAATCCTCTTGTGCTTTCCAATAGATGATTCTCCCAGCTGAGTAAGCTTGCAAATCGACCAAGGCAATTTTTCTATTCTAGTACCTCCTAAACTCAGATAATTCACTTCCATTTTTTCTGGTATTTGCAAAAAATGCCCTAGACTTGAGCAATGGTCAAGGGAGAGTTCTTCAAGAGAGGGTAACTTCAGATAACGTGGAAACGTCTTAAGCCAGACACTATGGTTTGCATCCAAGATTTCAAGTTTCACTAGATAGCCAACTAAATCATGAATTTCAACTAAATTTTCGCAATCCTCTAGGACCAATTCCTTCAAATTTCTAAGATTGGATAGATTAGGTATCACTGTAATATATTGGCAACCTCTAAGATTGAAAACACTCAAATTGTCTGAATTCTGCAATAATCAAAGCCATCTATAAAGCTTGGAAAAAAGGAAAAATTATTAAATACAATTTAGCTAACAAGAAATTCTGATAAGATAGGGTTCTTTTACCTCAGTTGTTTCTATCGAACTGAAATAACTTCGTTGAATGTTGAGTTCAACAAGCTTTTTTAGACGATGATCAACAGGCAAACATGAAGAAGGATAACCTTTCCACTTTAACACTTTCAAACTACTAGAAAGATATTCGGGACTTTTTGAGCATTTTACATTCTTAAAATTAAGAACTTTGAGATTTTTCGTACTCTTGAAGGCTTCTCCATCCCAATTTACTTCCATGCATTCAAGGCAATTGTCTTGAATTATAATATTGACTTTGTTTGTGCCCTTTCAAGCCAATAATAAATGCAAATAATGAGATATTACAAGTTTGATGCAAATAAAGACTAAATTAATTCACCACAAATTCAAAAAAAAAAAAATCAAGGGTATACAAGGGAGGCCCGGCCGACAAGTATATATAAACCAAGCCCCCAACCGAATCCATTTTTTGGCCTAGACCCATACCATTTCCTTACACATGCATAGATTTTATTTTTTCACTGAATATTTAGGAGGTTATTCAACTGAAATTTAAACAACACAACATAACTATAATTCTATTTTTCCTTATTTTATTTATAAATAATCTTAATTATTCTTTGTTTGTATTTAAAGAATTTATGTGTTGATTTCTCTTTTATAAAATTTCAAATATCTTTATAACTTTCCATTCAAATTATCTAGCCAATCCTGAATATATTGAAAATATACACCACCATCATTTTATTAGGTCATTGAAAATTGAAATTCTTATTTTTTGTTACTTTAAATTTTTTTAATATTAACTTACTGATTATATATTTATTTTTGTACGTTGAAAAAATTGTCTTCAATTTTAATATCACTAAATTGATTTGTTAAAGTATTTTTCTTTTATAATGTAACACTCTTTTTTAATGGGGCATTTATCTACCAACACTCCAATAAAATAAGTTAGATTTTTATATTCATGACCTACTTCAACCATATATTTCACATATTCCAAATATTTCTCTATGAAAAAAATAAGCAATATCAATATTATTTCTTTTTCTAAACTCTCACAGCTTACTTTCAATACTTGGTTAATGCCTTTAATTTTTTCAAAATGTTTCTAGAATTTTTTATATCATTTTATATGATTTTTTTTAAAAGGATTTATCTTTTAAGATATACTCTTTTTTTCTAAAAAATGATAATAAAAAATTAAACACTTAAAATAACAAATATACATAATTGAATGCGCAAAAATATCATTAGATAAAAAGAGAAGGGAAAAAAACAAAAGCTATCCTGGTTAAAACTAACACATCATTTTAGAAAGAGCAACAAAATATATAAAATCATTAACTGTATAGATCCATCACGTCTTGCATCATGCATCGTTAACTAAAGACCTTTCAGGAAGAAAAAATCTTCTAAAAATCTATTCCACATTCAACACATTGTATTCTTTGTTTAAATTCTATGCATTCGATTTAGAAGACAAAAGAACGAGTGAACAACTTCACATAACAAGGAGAATAAATATAACATCAAAGCAATGAAATAACCAAGAAATTTTAAAAGGAACAATAAAATTACAAGATAGAGAAAAAGTAGATAATTTCAAATACTTACTGTATTGTCTTCCAAAACATGAACAATATCTTCATGGAACCATAATCTAGTCCGTTTTCTAGGTTCATTTGATGATTCTTGATGAACAATTTCTCTCCCTATGTCTCGTATCAAGTCATGCATATTAATGTAATAATCTTGAATCTTTATGAGGCATTTATCCTCCAACACTCCAATAGAATAACCTGGATTATTAAAGCCATGAATAGCTTCCATCATATATTTAACGTACCTCATAGATTCCCCTCTAAAGAAACAAGCAATATCAGGAAATATTTCTTTCTCGAAATGCTCTAGGCCATCATAGCTCACTTTCAACACTTGCTGAATGTCTTTGTTAGGAATTAATTTAAATGCATCTAAGGCAGATTTCCATTCATTTATATTCCTTCCACACATGTTCGAGCCTATTACTCCAAGAGCTAGTGGAAGGCCTTGTGCATAATTTATTGCACAATTCAACACCATCATGTGACTTGGATTTACTAAGTTGTTTCTAAAAGCATTCCAATTTAACAATTCAAGAGATTCTTCATCATTAAGAGCCTTCATATCATATTATATACTTTCAATCCTGTGTCTTACAAGTAAATGCATATCTCTTGTTATAATGATCCTACTCCCACCACTAAACCAATTACAATCACCAACTAATTTTTCTAGATGCTCAGGTCTGTCAACATTATCAAGAAGCAAAAGGATTTTCTTTTGTTTGAGTCTCATCCTTATTAGTTCAACTCCTTCATTAGCATCTTGTATTTTGATATCCACTCCTACAATCTTGGAAATCATTGTTTCTTGCATTTGATGCAGGCCAAGCTTGCTTGAGTTTTCTTTGATGTCATGGAGAAAGCACATGCCATCAAAATTATCAACAGCTGAATTATACACTGCACGTGCTATTGTTGTTTTACCTATTCCCGCTATTCCACAAATTCCTACCATGTTGACCCCTTTATTTGATTCAATTTCTAATAAAGATTTTATACTTAACACTGGAGACTCTAATCCAACTGGATATCTAGCAACATATAAAGGAGCCCTATCAATTTTACTAGATATTTCTTTCACAATCATGTCAATTAATTGATATTCAAAACCATGCCTGAAAAATTGTAAAAAGTTATGTCATTTCTAATTAAATTCATCGTGACAAGAAATTTATGTTTATTTACTTATAACTTGATGCAAAGCTGAGTAAGGAAAACAGTTTAAAAATTGTGAATTACCTTGGATTATAAAATGGAAGCCAAAAATGTTAGGCACTTCATGCAATGCAAGCTTCCAATTTTGTATATTCTCTTCACTAGCCCTAAGGTTTTTCTTATGCATAAATAGTGCTTGTTCATAATTTTCCTTTTGATGTCACACTTCTAAAGGCTCCACATCACAAAAAATTGGCAAAACCAACTAACCATTTCTCTTAACACACTGATAGATCTTAACAAGCTCATTAAGACAAAATGATGAGAAAGCGTAGTTCTTAGAAAATACAATCCTTGAATTTTCAATTGTTGTGAGAAGTGCTGGGGTAATTTCATCACCTCTTCTTAGTTCCACATCATCAAGGAAGGTGCGAATTCCCTTTTGACTTAAAGAATGATACAAATTTCCTGTGAAACCATAACGAGTATCTTCGCCTCTAAAATTGATAAAGACATCATAAGCCTATTGGTAGTAGAAGGAAGAAGACGTTGTTGCTAACCCAACCATGATTGCTTCCTACCAACAACAAAAAAAAGAAGAAACCAAAATTAATTACCTTAAAAAGAAAACTATATGTGAATGGTGAGACCAGAAGATATGGAAATGATCGATGAAGATATGAATGAATCTGCTTACTAAGTTGATGCCGAAGTAAATGTTAGGCACAGGAATAATATAAACGTTGAGCTTGACACAATGGGTTAACTGATAAACAAGTTTCTCTAACAAAATGGAGCTAGTGTTTTATCCTTTTCTTTAATTCAATTTTTTACAGCAAATTAGAACAATATCTTGCCCATTGTTTGGGTAACTAAAGACAATGGACAAAGTATATCGAAAATAATATAAAACAATGATATGAAAAATTTTAGATAATACAAATAGTAATACCCCTGCCTTTCCTTTTTTAATTGACAAACTATATTCAAGGACCAAAAGATTCCCAAATATCACTACCAGACCAAGGGATTGATTTGAAAATAATTTTAGATAATAAAGATAGTAATACCCTAGCCTTTCCTTTTTTAATTGACAAGTAACCATTTATTAATTAATAAGAAGTCATTCATTAATTGACAAGTTCAAAAACCTAAAATAACTTGGTTGTGGGAAGGAATAATTGTAGATCATGTTTCAACAAGTAACCATTCATTAGTAAACAAGTTCCCATTCACAATTAACAAAAAGTCATTCACTAATTAACAAGTCTAATAATCTAAAAACCATGGTTGTGAGAAGGGACAAGTATAGACCATGTTTCAACAAATAGTCATTTGTTAATTAACAAATACCCATTTATATTTAACAAGAAACCATTTGTTAATTGACAAGTTTAAGAATATTAAAAAACTTGGTTGTGAAAAAGGACAAATGTGGATCATATTTCAACAAATAGTCATTCGTTAATTAACAACTCATTCACATTTAATAAGAAACTATTCACTAGTTGACACCTATTATATATATTTGCTTTAATAATATATTTTATCGTACCAACATTTAATGGAGGGTAAAAGGAAAAAAAATATAATAAAAATTTAATGATGTGAGTAATAAATAAGACAAAAAAGATGTTCTCTCTCCATCTTCTAAATTGGACTGGAGGGAGTATAATTTAGTGTACCTCAAGTCTTGAATTTTTTACTCATTCATTTATATAACAATTTTTGAGATAATTGTAATATAAAGGGCACTAGATAGTGGAATATATAAGACAAGTCTTTGAAACACGTGTAATTTATAGTAATGATGTATAATATAAATTTTTTAATATTTTTAAAAACAATAAACTAAAAGGTATGTTATATGACAGGTGTTCTAAACACCCATTATCTATGTTAACATTAATTTTTATTTTTATGAAGACCCACAATATGAAGCGTTATATGATGGGTTTGTTGATACCCTTCATATGTTCTTAATTAAATAAATGATGGGTGTTTTAAACACCCATCACTTATTTTGTAAGCATCATCCAACCTCTCAAATATATGACATACCCTCATTTTTCTTAGTATCATATATATATATTGTAACACTAGCCTTGAGTGTTATCCAAAAATCACATAATTCAAACAAACTAAGTGTGGTTAAGGAGTTGATCCTCTAACCAACTTAAGAAATAAATCATTTAAAACTTAAAAATAATTATAGGTTCTACCTATAGCGCACGGAAGCAAGTTAGACGAAAATGGAATAAAAAGATGCTGTCATGACAGTAATTTATTGCTGTCATGACAGCCCTCCTGGGCCAACTTTCAGGAGGCGGTGTTCCGTCATTTGACCTCCGATTGAAGTGATTTTAAAGCTCACACGTCACATTCAAAGGGTACTATAAGTGTACCAAATTTCAAAAAGATCCAACGGTCGGATTAAAAATTAGACATGTTAAAAGATTGACTATTTTTGCTGTCATGACAGCTAAAAAGCTGTCATGACAGCACTTCCGGACTAACTTCCGGAGTGCACCATTTCATCATCTGACCTCCGATCGGAGTGATTCCAAAGCCCACATATCACTTTTAAAGAATACTATTAGCATACTAAATTTTGAAATGATCCAACGGACGGATTGAATTTTGTGCAGGTTACAAAATCAACACTGTAGCTGTCATGACAGCAATTTAATGCTGTCATGACAGCACCTCCAGACCAAATTCCGGAGTGCGTCATTTCTCCGTCCGATATCTGATCGACGTGATTCCAAAGCCCACACGAAGCTTATAAAAGGTTTTACTTGTGACCCAAATTTTAGAGAAATCCAACGGTCGGATTAAGATTTGGACACCCAGATGTAAAAGTGCAGCTTTTTGGTAAAAACCATTTTCAAAATTGTCCAAATCCCATCCTAATGGTCACAAACCTGTGGAAACACTTTGGACACGTCAAATAAGATTAAAAACACTTGATAGAACATTCAAATGATGGAAAACCCCCATACATCAAAATTTGACCACCCGGGTGCCATTTCCTAAAATGGACCCTAAACCCCCAAAATGTACAAATCATACAAGAGTGGTCACAAATCAATCCAAATACCATGTATTTATATAAATACATATGCTAAACATTTTCACTTGGCTCAGAGCTCCTTGTAGGGCCCACGCACCCACTCTCTCTATCCAAGCTGTATGTTTTCCCATAGCACACCATTTGCAATGCAACCACTTTGCATTTGCTTATAAAATCACATATATATCAAAATAAAGATCTGCTTGTAATAGAAACTTGGTCTACTAAGTAAATCCATCAAAACCACACACCATAACCAAGTTTCCTAGCCACAAGTCTGCAAACAGACAAAAATTCATACACAAGCACACAATCCACACATATTCACACACACACACACATAATCATATCCTACTGGCACCCTAATCTTAAATACATTACAATATATTTGCTCAAAAGAAAGGGGTTGCAGTTCTTTACAAATCACAAGCAAACCCCTAGCTTTGCTCTTTTCCCCGTCCACCACTGGATCCTTCGCCTGGACCTAGAATATTGAAAAGAAAGGGGTGAGACAACCACAGTCTCAGTAACAGTGAAATCTATATTGATTATTACAAAGTAAGCCATAATCAAATAAATGAATAATAAATTCAACATAGTATATAATTTAGCCATTTAAAATGCATGAATGCATGACCTAGGCCGGTATGGCCTTTCATGACCAACAGAATGCCCCCTAGCACTCTTTAACTCGCAGGTAAACCTTATACCTACTTGTACCTCCACAGGCACAAAACATAATCTAAGGCATGATCTAATCCACCGAACCGCCTATGCCCCTTCGACGTGAATCCTGAGCAGTCAAAGCTAACTCCCTCCCAGAGCCAGCCCGACTTACTCTCCATGTGAGGGCTACCTTGGCCTAGGCACTCAACCTCACACTTCATATGTCGGATTCCCTCCCCCACTGAGAGGTGTCGAACACTCAATACACTAACCACTTTAGTGCACTGAGCCCACAATACGTAAGACAACACTGAGTACTGACAGTGTGCCATAGAATATCAAAAATCCACACCTTCTCATTGGTGAACTCCCACCGAGATCATGCCTTTTACTCTTGTCTACCTTTCCTGAGTATTGACCATTCAACACTCTAAAGTAGTATAATATTTATAAATCTCATTTCCATAAAAACATTGTTATTAAACAATTAGAAAACATATTTGCACTATAATCAAAGTAGTACCCCATAACCCCTTATAAAGCACATTTAATCTTTTAAAACATGTAATGCATGATAACTAGTAATATTTATTCAAAAATAGCTAAAACAAAGTAATAAGAAATATAAATTCCCCTGTTACCTCAACCCTTTGGTACTAAAAGGGTTCCCCTTGTACAAAATAGGGCTCGGCTTGTTCCTTACTTCTCAATAAGTTCCACCAACAATTTTCTACAACATATAAGTGATCCACATCACTTATCATGACAAATAGTATTAATGAAGACTATAACTTATACCACACAACTTAGGTCAATGAGTCATAATCCACCCTAATGGTCCATATATTAAACCAACCATTCACATAGTATCACTTAACCACCAAAACCATTTATTAGCCATTACTAGGCTAATTTTCAATTTATATAATTTTTTATCAATTAAAAACCTTCACTTAGTGTCACCAACTTTCACCATTAGCCCTTATAATGAAAACCAAACCTTAATTTAAATCTTATTGGGTTCAAATAGCAAAATTATAACTAAATCAATAAGCTTAAACCATTGAAGAGCAAAAACCCAATTTCTCAGGATTTATTTTGTGTCCAAAACACCTCTTTTCATCTAATTATCCACTCAAAATATTAGATCACTATATAGAAACTCAAAACATGCTCCCTAGGATCCAAAGAAACAAAAGCTTACAAGAATAAAGCCTTTGGAATCAAAATCCAAAAATCTCCTCTTCTAAAAATTGAAGAAAATCAAGAGAAAGAGAAGAGGATTGAAGTAGGGAGTTTACCTATCGTGTAGCCGAGCTCGCAACGGTCACAAAGACTCCTAGATCCGAGCCTAACTCCCTCTCTTTCTCCTTTCTTCTTCCTCTCTCTCTCTCTCTCTCACGTGTTTCCTTTCTTTCCTTGTTTTCTTTTCTGCGTTCTGGTCTGGTTTTTCATCTTATAAAAGCTGATTTAAAAGTTTGGGGAAAATTACAAGAAATGGCCCAACATTTTTTATTATTGCACAAAAGCCCGGGTCAACTTTGGTAATTTTTCCCATAGTTAAAAATCAAATAAAACTAAACTTTTGCTTAGTAAAATTCAAACTCTGGACCTCTATCAAATTATTCTAAATTTTAATTTAATTATAGATATTTTATTTTATTTTTATTTATTTTTTTAAATAAATTTGAGTCTTAAAATTTTTAAGATGTTACATATATATTTGTAGTAGTGTTTACATTTTAAATTCTCTAATATTACGTGGTAACTTGTAACTCAATTACGTACTTGTTAAAGGCATATAGTTACTTGTTAATATATATATACTTTGCATGTAATTTAATAACATTACTTGATAACTTGTCAACTCAATTACTATATTTGTTAAATATGTAATGCCAGTAATTAATTTCCTATAGTTACTTGTTAAAATATTTACCTTACATGTTAATAAGGTTATTCTAGTCATTTTGCCTTACATTTTAATTTCAATTGAGGTTTAAATTCCTATGGTGAAATTTTGAATTAATTTGAGAAGATTTATAGTAATGTCACATCCATGGTCTTCTAATGAAATTCTGCCAATAATCTAATTCTAAGGAAATATTTCACAAAACTTCAAAGAATTTTCTTAAAAACGAAACCGTGTTGCGTGTGATGCGATGTGAAAAGTGCTAATTGAAAGAAAGATAGAAAGGATGAATTATAATGGTAGGCTTTACATGGAGAGCTCAAAGAAATCTTTCATTATTGTGATAATGGTCCCCACGAGTGAAAAGGGTCAAATATTTGACCATAAATTTCTAATGTTGATATAAAACTTGCAGCAGCCATGTGTATCCAATCAGCAAAAATACTAAAACACTTCTCTTTGGTTTTTTTTACACTTATCATCCTTAGAATATAAATTATTAAAGATTCATGGATGATTTCTAAATTCCAATACATTTTGGTGCTTGTGATCAATTTTTCCAAAATTACTTACAATAACCATGTACTTCACATGAATTATTAGTTATTACTTTTTTTAATCCACAAGTATCTTCTCATTATTTGAGGCAATCTTGTTTGAGGTACTGTCAAGCACAAAATGTTGGCACCTTTTCCAATGAAAATTCAAACTTTAGTTTATTATGTTGTAAGAAATTAGCTTCTTCAACCAGATCCAACCCCATTAATCCTTTTTATGGTTTTAGATTGGCATGTTTTGGAATGATGGAATGGATAATAAGTATTAACGAGGATGTGTGATTGGAAATGGATGTATTATAAGAATGAAAAAAGATATAATAATGACAATATCATACTATTCTTAATAACTAGCTTGGATATTTTAGAAAAAAATGATATAATATGATAGATATTTTGGGGTGGGGGGATAAATTGCCCTTAAAAATCCATGCGTATTTGAAACAAAAGAAGTTTGGGTGAATTTCTACCTAATGACCAAATTCATAGGACAAAAGTTTACAAGTAAAATAATATTTACAATTATTTACCACTCAAACAACATGAATTTAATTATAAGTAGAATTAAGTGTATTTATTATTATGAATAAATCATTTTAAAATTTGGTCCTTAAAATGCTCATGACAAATGTAATCGTTAAATTTTATTTACTTAAAGTTAATAATTACCATTAACATGAATTTCAAATTTTTAATAATCACTTTTTTAAAATAAGTACATTAATTTTTATAGGGCTTTTAAACAAATAAGAAATTTCAAGTGACCAAGTAAATCAGCTAGATGCACCAACACTATTAGGTGACTTTTTATTTGTAGAGTGACGAAGCACTTTCACCTACACAAAATGCTGACATTGGCAATAAGGTTTTTCTATTTTTTGAAGAAAAATAATGTGAATTTTTCTAAACCATGCGTTTTCTTTTTAAAAGATTATAGGAAAGCATCACTATTTTTTTTTGGAATAAAGCATACATTAGTTAAAAGCAATTACAAAACAGAATCATTATCCGAGTTTACATTTTCATCCACTTCAGCCTCCTATAAAAAAGCATCACGTTTTTTACTCCAACATTTTCCAGCACTTCCTACAGAAGCCCCAACGAAGACATGCGTATACCACAAGAAGCACCTTAAAGATTGTAATTGATCTCCTTTTCTAGAGGAAGCTTATCAAGAAATTTTTAATTCCTTCAATAATTACTTTTAGTTGTTTTTAATGGTATATTGCATATTTTTATATAAAATATAATTAGGTAATTCTATTACTCTTTAGTTTAGGTAATTAAGTATTGTTGGAAATGTATGTTTGGGCTCACATTATTTATTACTCTTTATTTTATGTCAGTGGTTGGGTTATGGCCAAGTGGGAAAACTAAGTCGTTGGGCATGATGTTCAAGACAAAGAGTGAATCATCCTAATTTTTTAATTCTGTAATTAGTTACTAATCAGGGGTGAATTAGTAATTAGTAAATGATTAGAAGTTTGGATGATTATTTAGTGATTTGACTCATTGGAGTGTCAAATGGATAGATACGAGTGGAAGAACCACGTCTGGAAATGAAGCGTGTGCGTTCAATGAGGATTTCCCTCGTGCCATGCGTCGCGGCACAAGCTACCTGCACTGCAGTGTATGGCATAGAAAATTACTTGATAAATGTAACATCCTGATTTTTTATATAATAAAGAAATTGTGGAATTTAGGTTTTGAGAAAAAAAAATGATAATAATAGGAATTTATATTATTTGAGGTTATTTAGAAATAATATTATGGTTAGGTATTTAATTATAAATTTAAAAATTTAAATTTAAAACCACATAAGCAATATTTAGTTAAGATATAATACATAAATAATTTTTTTTATGTATGTGTTGAAAAAAAAAAGAGAAGGTAGAAGGAACAAAAAAAAGGGGGTGGAAGGTTGTTGTTTCTAAGTCCCACATTGGTTAGATGAGGGAAGAGAAAAGGTGCCTTCATGTATAAAAAGGAGGGGGTGTGTGCATTAGGAAGCATGAGAGGCTAAGATGCAATTTAGAGAAAATTGCAACTTTGGGCCCAAAGGTTTGAATAATTAAATTCAAACCTATAGTTTTTTTTAATATAATTTTGGGACTCACAATCCCATTTTTATATTATTTTTCTCTCTTCCTCTCACGTTGCTCGGCGTTTTCTCGCAAGGGGGGATTATTTTCTTTTTTCTTCAGGTATGTTCTAACTTTCCTGTTTAGATTAGCATTTAAAAATTTATTTAATTACAAAATTAATTTTATAGTTATTTTTTAAATAATATTAGCTTTCTAGTGATATGATTATTTTGTAGGATAGAGTAAATATTTTGATTAGGATTTTTTCTATAGGATAGTAAATCTGATGATATGATGGATTAAAAATATAAGTTAAAACTCTTAGGGATATAATAAATATTATAGAATATTTTCTTGAGGTTGAAACTCATGTTTAAGAATTTTTGAGTTAAAATCTAGATCTATATGGTTGAATTTATGTGGAATCTGAGATGTAGGGATAAACCTATGATTATTAAATATTTATTTAAGTATGAATAGGTATTTTTCAGGTTATAGAAAGGTGATTTGAGGCTTCAGGATAATTTTAAAAATTTAATTTATTTTTGGACGAATTTTTAGAATATAGAAGGATGAAATTGTGATACTAGAAGTGATTTGAGGATAAAAAAAAATAGTTTATTAGGGTACGAGAATTTTAGAAAAGAATTTGGGAAGTTAAATGAGGCATAAATCTTAAATTAGTGTTAATATGGATTATAGATCTAAGACTTTCTAACTATTTAAATTAGAGTTATTTATTTTAATGTAAAATTAATATATAGTATTGTGAAATAATTATGTAGATTATATTGACAAAGATAGTGGTGAAAAAGGAGTTGTGAAGGGGAACTTGTTATTCAAGACACAAGGTAACCATTATTAATGTGTTGTGATGAGTGTGTTTGTGAATGGTTATGTGTTGTTTTGTTGTTTGGAAAAATTATGAATTATTGAAAATAAATACTGTATATACTTGTTTGAAATTATTGCCAAGTGGGTTAAAAATTTATTTTTGTTTATCATGATGAGATATTATTGTTCGAATATATTCCTGTTTGGATATTTGAATGATGCATGACTTGTCAGGGTATTTTAATGTATGGTGTTAATGGGAATTTCTGTTCGGTTAATTATTACCACGTGGTAAGCCCTCATTGGACCCAATGAGTGGCGTGTCGCTTGGTCCAACTCACCTTTGGCCGGGTGATTTGGCGTCCGAGCATGGCGAAAGGAGGATATAAGGTGCAGTCATGCAAATTAAATACTTGTTCTGTTTGTTTGAAAGTATTGTTCGGTTAAATGTTTTGTGTGCCCACTTAGCAATCGCATGATTAGTTATATCCGCATTCATCATTACATATTAATTTTTGGTTACTGGGACTTTTAAGTCTCATTCCCCGTGGTTAATATTTTTACAGGAGCGAGTCCGGCCGAGAAAGCACCAGAGGTGTAACTGTGGTGTATGAGACACCATCTTTTACGTTGCCTCTTATTTTAGATTATACAATGTATCTTGTGCCAACTTAGGACATATCTTCTTTGTGAAGCATGTAAACTCTAATCCTTTTTATTAAAAGTATTTATATGACCAAGAGGATTATGTCTGTCGCTCTTGATTTATGATCTGATTTGAATAACATGCTATGAGGATCATGTCTGTCCCTCATGGTTCTAATTGTTTTTTTTTTTGAGATATTTTAAGACCTGTGGTATATTGTCTTGGATGTATCGTGGTAGAAATTTTTCTACCATGATAAGGGTTCAATGAAAAAAAAATAAAAAAAAGGATTTGTTGAATTAATAACTTGTGAAAAATCGGTCTGTAAATTTGAGGGTGTTGCAATAAGTCATAATTTGGCTTGGATTTTAAAAGGAAACAACAAAGAAAAAGTGAGGGGAGAAGAGAAGAAGAAAAGGTCTGATAGGGCAAGCATTTATTAGAGTTTGGAAGGAATTTTTGACCAATGACTTATTGGGTAAATATCATACAGCCCTTACCTTCAATTCTACTAAGATTTTTCTTAGTATGAGTTATAGAGAAATTGTATTAGGAAGATTTAAGGGATTATTTTCTTACCCTATAGTAATAAAAAGATTCTTAGGAGTTAAATTAATGCTTGGTGATTGGTTTAGGGCTAATTGATAGAGCTTTGAAGCTACATGCTTAAATTAGCCCTAAATGGGAAGAGAAAAGGGTTGGAAATGGAGAAAAGGTAAGATGGGATGGATAAAAGTGATGAAAAGTGGTAATTGAGGGGTAAAGAACCTAGATTGACTGAGTGAAAAATGATTGATGGCTAAATATGGTTTTGATTAACAATTAAGTGTTTTTGGTCAATTACGTTAATTGACTAATTGTGCTAATTATATGTAGATTGGCATATCTCGTGAGTAGTGAGAAAAGATGCATGTAGAGACGTGTTAGTAATCGTTGAAGTCCACGAGTAACCTTTCTTATGACAAATGGGTTGAGGAAATTAAATAACTTCTTCTAGTTGATTATCTTTTGTAATCATTGGAAAGTATGAATATTAATGCATGAAAATATTTTAAAATAAACACGTTTGTCAAATGAATGTTTGATGTATGAAATGGGTTTCTAAAGAACTAATTTTAGTGAATTGCATGCTTTGTGAATATGTGTGTGTGTGTGTGTGTGTGTGTGTGGGTTTTTATACGTATGAAATGGTGGTTTGCACGAAAGTATGATCATAGGGGTGAGAGTTCACCCACTAAGAGAAGTAGTGAAAGACCATATGGCATATTCTCTTTAGTACCCGACGGGGTGTGGTGTTGGAGAATTATATCTCTTTAGTGCCTTTTGAGGTGTGGTGTTGGAGATTATCTCCTTAGTACCTATTGAGGTATGGTGTTGGATATTTAGACTCCTTAGTATCGATGTGATGTGGTGATAAGTTAAATTTCATGTGGGCACTTGAATCACTCTGATCGAAAGTTGTATGTGAAAATGGCGCACACCAAAAGTTAGCAAATTTGGACAAGCGCGCCACGGCACATGACATAAATGAGAACTGGGCATATGTTTCTATGCCACATGTCGCAACACATGTATTGCACACCATGGCGCATGGTCCATCTTTTAACCTGGTTTTATGGTTTTTAATACATGCAATTAGTGTTATGAATGAATGTGACTTGCTTCCATTATGTAACTCTTATATGTGTTGTGACTTTGATAACTTTACAAAACGAGTCTTGGGCTTAAGCTTTTTAAATAAAGTATTTGATTACTATTTGGTGTGATTTGGTGTGGTGATTTAGTTAACTTTTCTTAATATCGAGTAGATATTAGGAAAGGTTACAAATGTGAGTGAACAAATCCATATGGTCAGGCTAGTACCATAGGACTAGAGCCAGGATAAGGGCCAGGCCTTGAGGGCTCCTCATTTAAGCTCATTTTAGTAGGTATACCCTATTAATCTAGACTAAAAGTATGTATTATCTCTTTTGGTTGAGGACGGTCTGTGTGGATCAAAGATCTAATTCCATAAGTGAAAGGGTTTCCTCAATGGTAAAGTTCATAAGGATTAAGGAAGGAAAGTTAGGTAGCTAGGACGAGAGCATTTTCAAGGATGATAGGATACTCTATAAGATTTTCTATTTTCTGATAAGGAACCCCTTTTACAGAAGAGGGAATATGGTCAAAGGAAAAAGGCTGAAGAAAAATGGATTGGTTCAAGGGTAATAGTAGCAAGAGTTTTTAAGGAAGAGCTTTCTGTGAATCCACTCATATTTTATGAGCTTCTCCTCACTTACTTTTCATCTATAATATTTAGCTTCTGTCTATAATATCTAGCATTTTCTATATTCATACAAACTCAAACTTGAGACTTTATACTTAATCAATTATGACCCCTTTCATTAAGATCAATGTTTGTTGGTCTAACGTAAACTAATAATAATTTTATAAAAAATTTATCCATATTTTTCTTGTTTTTACTAGTATATTTTTTCTTTCTTTAAAGGCTAAACTTTTATTTATATGATTCTTACTTAAGTTGTGTTAAAAGATAATAAAAATATTTTTCTATAAGATATCATGTATATCTCATTAATTTGACTTGACAAACTTTAGTAATAAGATAATAGAGATATTAATGTACAGTTGGCACCAATTATGTTTGGTTACTTACCCTTTTAGACTGTGTGTCCATGCTTGTTAGTTATTTGCCCTTTGTGGACTTTATGTCCATGCTTGTTAATTGTTTTGATAAAGTCCTACTAAAGAATGAGTTTTGAAAATTATTTTTCTTAGAATTCCAATTTCTTTTGTAAAGCAAATGGTCCTTTCTACTTTATATGGATTTTTATAATTAGCTCCATAATTTTCCAGTGTTTAAAGCATATTTTAACATTAAAAGTGGAATTTGAATTTCTAATCATTTTTTAAAATTTATAAATTTATGGTTTATACATTTACATGATTATTGTTTTATGAGATATGTGTTTATATTATTTCAATTGATTATTCTATTAAGTTTATAATTGATTCATTAATACACTTTCCATTAATTCCTATGATTGTAAATTGGGACATTATTCATTGAAAAGTTGTTGTTGGTCTCAGATCCATTAACTAAAGTTATACTTTCTACTAACCTTTGAGGGGCCTATAGCTATATTGGATGGAGATCTATTTAGAAATTATTATCTCCTTTATATGTAACTATAAAGTTTATGTATTTCATTTTGAAAATATGATTAAGTGCTCCACATAGACTATAGTTAAGATCCTCATCTTGATTAACTATTATTTGTCTGTCGACTAATAGGAGTAGAGCTCCTTGTAGTTGTTGTGTTGGATTTTCTATGGAAACACGGTTTGAGAGGTCTTATTTACTAGGGAGGTTTTGTTGAAATTTCTACAAAACTATTAAAAAATTTGTGTGTGTGTGTGTATTGGTAAGATTTAATCTTATGTGAAATACATTCATGATTTACACTTAGAAATTTCTCAAGTTAAAGGCTTAAGGCATGCTAGTTTCTATGAATATCCTCTATTAGCCACAACAAATTTTTAGGATGTGATAGATTGGTATCAGAGCTTAGATGACTATAGCTATGTGGAGCAAGAATTTTTCAGTAGGGTCGTAATTATTATTATGAACTCAAGCATAATCATAATTGAGGCATCATTGAAGGCTTTATAACGAGTCTTTGAATGTCATTCCTTCCTTGTGTTTGACTTCCCCTAATGCATAAACTTCTTTTGATAGAAAGAGTGGGTGCGTAGACCCCATGGGGATCTCTAAGCCAAGTAAAAATGTTTATCATGTATATTCGTATGTGTATATGGTGTTTGAAATGGTTTTTGGCTACTCTTGTGTGATTTGTAAATTTTGGGGGCTTAGGGTCCATTTTGAGAAATGGCACCAATGGTCAAGTTTTGATATAAGGGGTTCTTCAATCATTTAAATATTCTACAAGGTATCACTAGTCTAATTTGGAATGTTTAAAGTGTTCCCACTAATTTGTGACCACTAGGATGAGATTTGGATAATTTTAAAAATAGTTTTTAATAAAAGCTGTACTTTTGCATCTGGGTGTCTAAATGTCAATCCGACCATTGGGTTTCTCTAAAATTTGAGTCACAAGAAAAGAATTTTATAATATTCATATGGTATTTGAAATCATGTTGATTGAAGGCCGAATGATAAAATGGTGTACTCCTTGGCCTAAAGGTGCTATCATGACAGCAAAAATGTCTAAACTTGTAACATATCTAAATTTTAATCTAATCGTTAGATCTTTTTAAAATTTAGAAAATTATTAGTACTCATTAAAAGTGATGTGTGAGCTCTGTAATCACTTCAATCGGAGGTTAGATGGCAAAATAGCATCTCCCAAAATTTTGGCTAGGAGGACTATCATGACAACAAAAACTAATGCCGTCATAACAACTAATTATCCATGTTTGCTTAGTTTTCTTTCGTGAGCTATATATTAATACTTTAGATTTTTCTAAGAGGTTTTGAATATGTGTTTTGCTATTGTGTAAATTATTTAGTGATTTTAATGATTTGTTTCCTAATTTAGTTTTAGGATCAACTCCTTAACCATACTTAATTTATTTGATTGTGGTGTGTTTTGTTAACAAACCATACTTAATTTATTTGATTGTGGTGTGTTTTGTTAAAACTTGAGGCAAGTATTATATTTGGTATCAATTTTAGGTTTATGATTCCTCTTTCCTAGTTGGCACCCTAATTACATTACTCTTATGCTCTTTCCTTTATGCCATTAACTTAGATTGACATTATTTTTCTTTTACTAGCTTGTTCCTTTAGGATGGAAGAAAGGTCCATACACATGCAAATGTGCACCTTTCAATTTTGATATGGCTCGAAAAGTAAGAGGTAGATCAAGGAATGAGGAACAACCACCACCTCTACCTCCTCTACCTATACCACTACCACAGGGGACGGATGTAGTCATGGTTAGGTTGTGTGAAATGATGGTGGACATACAGTAAAATCTCAAAGGTTGTGCTATTTCAAATCAACATGTTGACCTAAGTTCTAGGCAGGGTGCTTCTAGTGCTATAGGAGCTCATAGGCCAATTGCTGATAATCAATTTGAACCTTGGAAGGAATTTTCTCGCTCTAATCTAACCACATATGATGGTAACATGCTTAA